AAATATTTGCTTAAGATTTCTCTTTCGGTGGAATTGTATCATTACAAATAGGGAGGTGAAGGAGTAGCAAGCTGATTTCCACACATACACACCCCCCCTTGCTTCCAAAGAGCCCCACATATTTGCAGACAAGCATGCACATGCCCCCTGGATATTCTCAGCCCCCAAAGATTCCAGCCTGACTTGCCTGGCTTGCTCTGGACCACTTGGCATGTGATAGCAGCCATGCACATTTGGCAGAGACATTTTTAGAAACTTCCAAGCTATGAATTCACCCTTCCATTTTGGTAAAGCCAGTTATGTGGAAAGCATTTCAAAAGCAGAACTTCCAATACAGACTTAATTTCCATTCAATTCTTGGAAGGGGAAAAAAAAAATAATTACACTCTTAATTTATTTTCCCCCAGAGAATTATCCTGTAAAATTTCCGTATTTGCTAACACTAGAACCAATAACAAAATAATAAGTCAGATCAGTATTTTCAGCACAGTTACATCATATGTCAAAACCATTTCAAATTCTTTCCCTCGGGTCTACGTTTTACTGAGATGACTAAAAAGTGACTTTCCTTGAAAAGAGATGTCAGTCTAAACGCTTGGAAAGTGACCTTCATGCTGCGTGCTTCACAGACCTACCAGGGAGATGCCCGTGACTGCAGCTATGGCAACACGGACACCTGCAGGCACCTGCTCTTGCCTACAGGTTTTCCACTGCAACCACACAGGAATGGAGGCCAGGATCACATCTACACCTCCAACCCATTAAACATGTGCTGGCAACACAGCTAAATACCCAACTGGCTCCTGACATACTGAGGGTCAACTTCTAGGCATTTTTCCCTTTTCCACAGATGTTCAGAAAAGCAAACCCATTTCAGCAGGTTGGGCTCCACAGGCAGGGCCTGACACCGACTCTCACAAACCAGCAAGCTCTAAACATCCAAATCTGCTGAGGTATCAGAACCACCCCATTCTCATCCCTAAGCAGCTCCAGCTGCACAGCACAACACCCATAGTGCTTTAAATGGCTTTACGCTGCTTTGCTGGGAGGACACACCAGAAGCCGCCACTCAGCTGATGAGCAAAAGTTCATTAACCTACAGCTGCTTGATTGCTACCACCTGCCTGTCTCAGCCCCTGCACTCCATGGTAAGAAGATTTCAGACCCTTTTAAAGCTCACAGTAGTTCCTTGATCTTTGTTTTAAAGGAATGTCATTCTTTGAAGGAAAAATATTTTCACTGCAACTGCTTGGTGAGAGTGAATCCCACTATCAGCTTGCAGTGACCACATGTGACACCTGTTGCTTGAAGAGGGGGAACAGAGGCACTCCTGCTTTGATTCCACCTGCATATGAACCCTTCAGCACAGTCCTGAACTTCTCCAGAGTCCTCTTTCTTCCTCTAAAGCTCCCCAAACATCTTCCACAGTCCTGGAGCATCCTGTCGCAGGAAGGCTCCAATCCTTGGCCCTCAAGTCACATCTGAGCACAGGGGTGCAGAGGCCAATCTTTTCTCACCACCCTGGTGTGTCTGCTGTACTTGCCAGGGCAAAGCACCCAAGAAAACACTACTACCCCTCAAAAAACTGCTGTGATGCCAGTTTTTACCCTTCACAACATAACCTCAGGCAGGCAGCAAAACCAAGATCTTGAGACACACCATGAAGATTCAAACCCCACCTTCATATTCAGAGATGGCCACAGAGACTAGCAGGCTTCCCAAAAGGCAGAAGACACAAATATAAATCCTCCTGGAGACAGAGAAGAGCTGCACAAGCCCAACTTTCCACACTCCTTGGATAAACACTGCAAGCATCAGACACAAAAAAGCCAAGCACAACCACTTCCTCTTCCAAAGTACTGCTCCCACTTACTTAGATAAAAGATCAAATAGAGAGACCTACCTCCATGCCAGGAACAAGGTCTGCAGGCGAGGAGCAAGCCAGACAGCATGCTGCAGCCTGGAGGGATGATGTTTTTGAGCACACCCACTCGGCCACCCCCAGGCGTGGGCTATATGGGCTGATTGAAGCAGCCCACCCTGCCCAGGAGGGACCTGAGGCACCTACCCACCAGCTCTGCCTCTGCTCCAGGACCCAACCACCAAGGCAGGGCATCTCCTGTGACATCACTTGTAGTGGTCAGTGCCACACATTAGAGATGGTGCTACACCAAATCACCCTTCTTACCCCAGAGAGGAAATAACATTTATCTCGCTGCCTCCACTGATGATTTCTTTTCAGGTCTGTGGCCCATCAGGAGCCTGGACGCTTTCAGGCTGCCTATTGAAGGAAATGGTTCATCCACCAAGTGCTGCAGATTGACCCACTGGGTCCCAGTGAGGATTTCTATTCTTCCCCTCTCTCATTTATTTCCCTTGTCTGTAAGGTTTGTAAATTGACAGCCAGTTTATAGAGAGCAGATAGATATGTTTACAAAAGGATTAGATTTTTTAATGAAATCCAGACACAGCAGAAAGCAAATGTCCTAAGGAAGGTCCTCAAAAATAATTTTTTGCCCTCAAGAGTGCTGCAGCAGGTCAAGGTCTGAAAGTTAAAATTTCAGTAACAAGATGAGAACAGAGCCAAACTCAACACATTCAGCCACAGACCTTTTATTTCCCCCCCCAAACTGCTGACATTACAATTCCCAGCTGAAAAGACAGCCCCTTTAAAACTAGCTTTGCTGGGATTCTCAGCACTGTGAGAAAGCTGCTTTTTCTAAGGTTGATCTGTGCTCTGACAGGAGCATGTCATGGAGATAAACCCAATGAAACTTCCTGCAGGCAGTCACGCTGCATCAGTGCTTACAGCCGAGCTCTCCCCTCTGCTTAGCGTCCCAGTATCTCAGAGATTAGCAACAACCTATTTTTATATTGCATCTGCATGAGGGAGGAAATATTGAGGCAGCCAGTGTTTGACCACCTGCAGGTACTGTGTTTCAGAAAGACGAGACTGCTTTCACGCTGGCTGAAAAAAAAATAAAGCCACACTGCTGCATCTGGCTTAGGAGAGTCCATACAAAGAGAATTTTAAGTTGCATAAAATGACACGGTGCTGATTTGGAAAGTAGGAACTGCTGCACAGCAATTAACTTGAAATAGAATCTAAATAATCTTCACGTCTTAAATATTATTTGTATTTAAAGCTGTATTTTCCAAGGCTGTGAGACAGGTGGACACCTTTTTATCATCACTTGTGCAGCCCCGTGCAAGGGGCACAGGGAAGAGGGGTCTCAGGGAGGGCAGGAGCCTGATGCTAGAGATGATGTGTGTGAGAGACAACAGCCAGTGTCACTGAGCTGCATTAACCTCGGTCCATCGTGGCCCCAGCTTGCAGACTACCCGATTCTCTCCTCAGTTAGTAGCTTGCTCATCAGGCAGCTTCTTCGAAAGCAAGGCTTTTATTATTATTATTAAAAAGGACATGTGCATTCACTTTGTGCAATGTATCTTTTTTAAGCTGAGTAATTCCTTATTCAAAATCAGACCACGTACGTCATTGATTTATTCCAATTTTGGTGTAAATCTGTAAGTCAGGGAAAGGCTATTAAGAAGGCTGCACTGAAATGCAATAGGTAACAGATACGGGAAGAAGCCACATCCATTCTGCCCACCCTGCACACTGCAGAACTTCAGGGCGAGCACAGGCTCTGGACTCCCAGGCAGTAGTGCCCTCTGCGGGAGTCCCCGTCCCAGTGCAGAGGTTTCCAGCCCCCTTGTTGCTACCATCTTTTCAGGCAGATTCCTGGATTTTGAACTCGATCACAAATTCCAACTTTCCTCGTTCATGCACACAGCCCTGCAATCACCACTTCAACTGCCCTGCACCCCCGTTCGGACTGCTACAACCTCCTGCCACGTCTGAATTCACCCACGCTTGCAGCAGCTGCCAGCAAAAGGTTAAATTGCGACTACTGGCAAGATCTAGTAAATGAGCATTACCATTACAAGATAAGTGATTGCTCAACTCTTCTCTCTAAATGTACTATTGAGAATTACATACAAAGGTAACCTAGCCTCAAATTTCACATATACACTGCAATTTGCTTTACGTTGTATTTCTTAGCATTTACGTAGCACTGTCTTTTAAAAAAGTTTACTTCTAAATACTCAATTAAGGCAGTATTCAACCACTCTGTGAGAATTGCCTAAACAGAATGTCAACTTTAACAGTCAGCTCTGAAAAAGCAACAAAAACAATTTTGAGAGGAGAAGACAACATCAATTTTAAGAAGACCACAGTGCAGTTTTCGGTACAAGGTAAAACATGGAGTGTGGCAGGCTGGTATTTAAGGTATTGACACAAATCAACTCCCAATTCTAAAGCATAAGAGATAGGGAAGGTAATAACTGTGAAAGAGTTCACTAACTGAGAAAAGATGAACCATACGAGCAAGAGAAACTTTGAAACGTACAACTTGGAAGTATTTTGCAAATATAAAGTGGAATTTTATGAAGAAAAGGAGCAAAAAGGCATTTGATCTCAACAGATTGGCAATATAATTCTCAAATATATTGCATAGATTAATACTAACAACTGGGGCTCTGTTTTTGCTTTGGTCAGAGCCCTTCCAGGGCCAGAGAACAGAGCCAGACTGCTTGTGCACTGTGTTCCCAGTAAAAACAATCCATGAGCAACCACTGCCGTTAAGAATTAAGCTGAAATTTTACACCCAAAGTCATTCGGGCTCTTTCAATCCCTCAGACTTTGTTTTTAAACAAAACCCAGTTTACATGGATACAATAAATAGTTTATTAACGGAATGCATGTGAGTTTCTCTCTTCCATCCTTCCTCTCTCTCAGCACCTGACGCACAGATGTCAAAGCAGGTTCCAGTCCAAGCCAAGGACAAAAGTGAATTTCAAGGCAAAACAGAGAGAGGCTGAAGTTAAGACTGACACCTCTGAGTGCCCAGCTCCTCAAGTGTTTGTCTGGTTCCCCACACCTACAGTCAAATTGGTGTTTCTTCTTTCCACACCGGCATCTACCTGCTTCTTCCCAACTCGTGCTCATTTAAGCTCTTCTTAGGCGGGTCACACGCTCCATGGGGACAGTATAAAGCCAGGCCTGCTCTAACCATCATTCAGCTGCTGCAATACCCCTGTATTATTTTCTTTAAAAGGACTGCTGTTATTATGCCGTCTCTTTCTGATCTTTTGTAATAGCTCAGTTTAGCTTTGGAAGTCTATAAAAATGGAAAGAGTCTTTTTTTCAAAATATAGAGCACTGTGGCCAGGAATAAAGCAAGGGCGAGGAAGATGAGCAGCTTGTCCGTCAGTTCCCTGCGATTGTACTTTGTTATCAGCTTTCGCCCCAATTGAATAGTCCCAGACATGGACTTAAATTCTTCATTTGCTTCCAGGATGGTTCGTGAAGAATTGGCTGAAATTAAGGGGGGAAAAAAATAAAAATCAGCTGGTTGCGCTTCAAAAATACATGACAAAGGACATAAGCATGCGATATTTGGCAATACAGACAGTGCCTGCGAGATCCTTCTTGGGTAGGACTGACTTATGGGCAAGACAAATGCAGACTGTGCTCTTGCAGAAGCTTTCACAACCCAATAGTCTTAATGTGCTAAGAAAAAACGCAAAGTAAAATAACAGTACTGAATGGCTTGAAGACCCTATGTCCTGTTCCCAAATATTTAAGTTTTAGGGTACCAGATCAAATCTAGTTCACATTTTTCAAGTACAAAGTTGGTGCTACCTGAGAGCTTGTTAGAAGCAGAGTGAAATAAGAATGGTGCTAGAACCACTGGTTTACGAAAGAAAAATCACCATCACTATCTGCATGAGTTCTAGCAGCAGCAGGACAGGTCAATATTTGAACATATTAGTTGCACAACTGAAACTGTTCTGAGCCAGAGCAGTAAATCAGAGTAATTCAGATGGGGTTGCAGAAAGAGAAAAAGCAGCATGCAGCAGTAAGAGATCCTTAATTATTCAGCTCAGACAATTTAAAGTTTTTAATAGTTATTTTTGACAAATATATTTTTTTCCTATTAAAAAAGAGAAAGTTAAGTAGAGAAAAAGTACCTTGATTGGTCTCAACTAAAGATAAAATTTAAGAATAAGCCAAAACAGCAAGATAGAACATCAGTCCCTTTCAGGTTCTCTTTCTCTGTGAGAAAACAAACAAATGCCCCAAACTCCTCAGCCTTTCTCCTTTCAAATTACTACATGAAAGCGAAAGCGCAGGAGTCTTCTTTTTCTTATACTGCAGAACGCACACCCCGTATGACGGTGAATGCCGGTATCTCACTCTATACTGAACTGACTGATGAAAGAAACATCAAACCCCAAGCATGTCGTGTGGCTCACAAAAACAAGCATAGTAAAAATACATCTGCAATATTTTGCAGACCATTACATCCCATCTTAAAGAGGCATTCTGATCCATGCACAACCAAAAGATTTGCTTCCCATTGTTAATGACAAAGCAGAGCTTCTCTGCTTCACAGCCACATGTACTCACTGCAGAGTAGGAAAGGACTTGCTTGGAAAAAAGGAAATTCTAACTACTGATTCAGAATTTGCAGCTGGGTTTTGTAAATGACCTTTGCTAGCGTTTTCCTTGATGAACTCCAAGCGCTGTTCAGTCAGAAACGGGGTGAAAAAAGTATCTGCCAAACTGTCCTTTTAATAGGAGAAGAAACATGCTACTTTTGCACGAACAAACTGTGCCCAGCTGCCATCCTCAGACGGGGGAAGAAAACAAGGAGGGCAAAAGTTGTGCTATTTATCCTCATCTTTAAACTGCTCTCTTCTGTGCAAAAGCACTGCTAGTAAGAGGCCTAGATCCAACTTCTAAATGCTTCATGAATCACCAGTTCTGACAGGTCACTTGATTTATTGTCTTGGGAGTCTAAGCCAAAGAACTGGGTGAAATCTTGGTTTCACAGTCCCTGATGCACTGCTGACAGAGCAAGTGACCTCGAGTTCAAGTCACTTGATCTTCTTGTCTCTTAGTCATCCCAGCTGGAGACTGGGTGAAAACAGTCTTCCAGCCATACTCGGTTTCTTCTGAGTACGGACTTGTACCCGTGCTTTTATTTTCTCTTCTATTCCCAAACATGTACCAGCACAGTAGCACAGAGTAACACCAAAAACACTCCCAGCATTGTGTGAACTCACAGTCCTTTTACAATTGCTTTTACGTGAAACAAAACCAAAAGCTTGTCAACCTGCCCCTCCTTTCTCTGCCCTCTTTCCATAATCATGAAACACACAGCTCTACACAACAAACATGCTTCAATTATCCAAGCCATGCCCAAACCCCCACAGAACACCAGTACCTAGGGTCTGCACGGTCTCCTCACTCTGCTGCACTTGCTGCGACATCATCCTGCTAATCCCCATCAGACTCTCCGTGATGTTACTTGCACTCTCTGCCAGGCTTTCCTTTGTAGTCTTCCTGAAAAATAAAGGGGAAAAAAGTAAAGCAGAAGGGGATAAAATTACATCTTTGGGTGCTGCTGGGAAAACGCTGGTGCTAGCGTGCACAAAACAGAGCTCTGCACCAAACATTTCTGCCAACGTACAAAAGACAAACGAGAAATTCAGATTGTCTTCACTAAACAATTAAAAAAAATCACAAAATATTAAATTCATGAGCCAAAACAACTGCTAGTGGCTCAGAATCTCACAGGGGCCTACATTTCACCACCTATATATCCATCACTGTAAAAATTTATGAGCTGACATGGAAGCACTGACACAAACTACCACCTTCATTAGCCTGGGTATCGTATTTGTCCCTTCGTAATACTGAATACACCAACTTTTTCAATACAGAAATGACATCCAGTTTTGCACGTGGAAACAGCTTGCATAATAATCCATCACTTGTTTATAAACATGACTGGAATTAATGTAAAAGACAGACAGAAAAATTATGAAAGCTAACTTAACCCCTTTTCTGCTTAGACATGCCAAGGCCAAGAAAACGTGAAATTATCACAATCCTTAACAGTTTAAATCTCCCCAAAAGGTAAATGGACTCATAAAAGAAACACTACGTTCCAGGTACAATTAAATAACTTAAAAACATGATGTTGCTTCCATTTAAAACTAGTGAATACAGCACACACTGTTTAAATCTCAAGATTGCACCGTGGGATGGTCTAATACCTTTGTCTTAAGGAGTCTCTTCCCTGCAGTAGCTGATCTTTCTCAGAGTTGTCGATAGCAATTTTGCAGGCTAGGTTTGCCTTTCTCCAAGCTGCCTGGTTGCTGAAATCACAAGAGTACAACGTTGTAACATGGTGGTAATGCCCCGCAAGTGAAAACAATTTCCACAAAGCAATCACCACTGTAACTGGGCACCTCAGATACACATGTGCACTTTATATTGCACCACAGAATAACAATACACTGTCCTGTCATTATTTCTCCTAAGTGTATCGTTTACAGAGCAAGAGAAGAAAACTGTGCCAGCTGTCAACTAACAGACTTTCACCAGCTGTCAAATGACAGACTCTCAAGCCACCTACTCACATGCTCAACCGCTGCAGGGGTCAGACCATGCTTAGGGAGTCAGGACAGGAGAGAGGAAAGGAGAAGGAAGTCCTACCATTTCCATCCCTGGTCCTTCCTGGCCCTGGGCAAAACACCCGTGATTTGCAAAACTGGACCCGAAAGACGCTGTACAGAAGTCAGATTATTTCTGGTTACAGCTGACCTGTAAACAGCACCAGCTGCCCGACCCACCTGAGCATTTGTTTCTTATGGTTTTCCACTTCCCGCAGTAAGGCCTGTTTATCCGACTCTTTATCTTGCTCCTTTGCCATCTGTTCCAGCTCCTTTGGTGGAAAAGCAGAAATGCGAAAATCTCATCTGCAACTGCTGCCTCCTGCAAATCCGTACACTCCGGCCCCGGCCAGGGAGGGAACTAACAGCATAAACTGAGCCCACAAACAACCGACCCCGCGAACCGAGCCCCGAGC